TCTGTGTGCCAGACAGCATTGGTTGCTCTCTTTCAATTAGTCTCCTCTGAAGCTGAAACCTTACTTGCGTTCTCAGCACTTTGCCACTGATGTTTGTATCACACCCCTAAACGTGGATCTCCCTGCCCTGACCCACCTGTCCGATGCCAGCACCTTGATGTAAAAAGCCCATCTCCTCTGGAGCTCCTGCTAGGGAGCTGGGGCTGGGATGTGGGAGCTGGGGTCCAGAGCAAGGGCAAGCAGAGGGTCCTCTCTGTGGTGCAGCCATACGAGTACACTGTGTTGGGCTGATAGTTTGGCTGCCCTTTGTCACCTGTCTGTCCCTTGGGCTAGGGCCTGCTGGCTGCCCTGTTCTGGCTGCTCCTGCAGGCTGAGCTTCTGGTGTGCAGGGCAATGCCAGTTCTGCCCAGCCGGCTGGCTCTGGGATGCAGGGCAGTGCTACTACTTCTCCTCTGCCAAAACGAGCTGGGAGCAGAGCAGAGAGGACTGCTACTTCAGAGGGGCACAGCTGGTCACCATCCGAGCCAATGCCACCCTGGTGAGTCCTCCCAACCTGGCCTGTCCAATACCTCGTGGGAATAGGGCTGCATTGGTGACCACCTCAAGGTCCCTCAGCAGTCACCCAGCCATCACCAGCTCCCTGGCCCTGGACCACATGCCCAAAACCTAGCCAAGCCTCCAGGCAGGGAGCTAGTGATGCTGTGCCCATACTGAGTGTCCTCCATCACTGATTACATGGCTGGGGCTGGATGTCCTCCCCAGGGTACTCACATGGGTCCCCTCCTGCCCTAGGCTTTCCTGAAGCGCATGGCTGCCACGGAGGTCTTCCACATTGGGCTGAAGCGGGATGGCTCCAGGTCTGACTGGAAGTGGCTGGATGGCACTGCACTGAAGGGGTGAGGCTCTCAATCCCCAGCCAGCGTTGCTGGGGGTCCAGCATCAGGGCTCAGAAAGATGACGGATGGACTGGCAGCCCACTGAAATGTAGGGCTGTGCTCCACATTTTTGCCAGTTCTTCTCTTCCCAGGGTTGCACCAGGGCATTTTAGGGAAGAGAGCATTGCAGGGGCCTGTCCCTGGTGCTCACACCCAGCCTGGGCAGAGGGCTGGAGGAGTCTCCCAGAAGCAGGTTCCCAGGCTTTGCTTGGTGCAGCTCATGCTGAGCCCTGCCAGGAGGGACCTGGGCGTGCTGTGTGCATGACGGGCATGGGGGCTGCATGTTAAGCAGGCAGGGGTAGAGCATGTGTCCTAAATGGGAGGAGGGTGGCAGGGGACAGTGATCCGTAGGGAGGGTGAGCTTTGCCCCCGCAGCATCTCTGTGCAGCCTCCGGTCCTTGGCTGGGGGAGCCGCTGATGGGACAATCCCAGCCCTTCCTGCCCATCCCATCTCAGCTTGCTTTGTCCCTGCAGGCTCTTCCCAATCCAGCGCCTCATCATCTCCTTCCTGGCCTGCGGCAGGGTGTCAGGCTCAGGGCTGTCAGGTGGTCCATGCAGGGAAGCCCTCAGATGGGTCTGTGAGCAGAGTGCAGCCACGCTGCGGTACTTCGGTTCCTTGCCTCCCACCTTCCTCTGGGGAAACACCACCTACATCTGCATGGGGCCCTGATGACTGTGGGGACCTCCGGCCTGTCCCGCCACCCTGTTCCCTGCTGACCTCAGCGCATGAGCACCCCCGAGTGCTGCTGCATCCTCGCTTAGGCCTCTTTACTCCCCTGTATCTCTGAACTTTGCCAATAAACTCTGGCACTTGGATGATGTGGCTGGCTTTGGGGGAAGAGGGTGGTGGAATGGAGGTGCATCCTCCAGCTCGCTGACTCGGTCGCATCGCTGCCGAGTGCAAAATGTCAGCTGCTGCCACACTGAAGGAAGTGGCTGGGAGCCAGCATTGACCCAAGTGTCCTCATGGCCTGATGGCAGCGTGGAGCAGCTCCTGTGTAGGCTGGAGCATGTCCCTCCAATGCTCTGGGCTCTCTGATTGTGATGGCTGCTCAAGGTTTATGCTTTATGAGAAAGGCAGCTGAGAGGTGACTGTCTCCCTGGTCCCACGGAGCACTTGGGCTGGTCAGCAGCTTGTCTCCCGGTGCCTGCCCAGGCTACGGAGATCACAGCAAATGCCCTCACTTTGCTTGGAGGCTGGGTGATCTGCAAGAGCTTAAAAGGCCTGCTGGTGTTTGGTTTGGAGGAGTTTGGTCCCGGAAGCAGTTATGATTTGGATATAGATCACCTCAGTTGTGCCAGCAGCGTGCAGCTCCACCATGGACATCCCGGGGAGCCCCTCCTGGCACATGCAGAGGACCAAGCCCCCACAACCACTGCATCCTGTCTCCCAAGCAGGGGCTGGGAGGTGGAAGGTGATGTATGAGTGTGGTGGGTTAACTCTGGCTGACGATGAGATGCCCACCAAGCCATTCTGTCACCCTCCCCTTTTTCTCCCGGTCCTCCACAGTGCAAAAGGGGCAAAGGAAAATAAGATAGAGGCAAAACCCTTGTGGGTAGAAACAAAGGCAACTTAATTTGAACGTGAAGCCAAGCAATGCCACGTGTGGAAGCAAAGAGAAAAAAACCCCAAAAATTTATTCTCTACTTCCCATCAGTAGCGATATCTGGGCCCTTCCTGGAAAGCAGGGCTCCAAAATACGTAGCGGTTCCTCCGGAGGACCAAGGCACAGCCTCCCCGATACAATGGGGCACCATGGCCCCGCTGCGGCCGGGACACATGGCCTCTTGGGGTTTCTCACAGCCTGGGGAAGTGGATGCAGACAATGCTGCTCCTGACTGAGCTTGCTCAGCACCCCCGCTCACCAAAGCTAGAGCAACACTGGAAATACACCCCCTTTTTGCAAATGAAGCAACAACTTCTGCTTTTTCGCACACGAGGCAGCC